CAGTTTTCTTTAACACTCTGGAGCTATGCAAAGGACTGCAGAAGGGAGAAGATACACTTGGCTGGAATCAAAATAGCAGCGGGAAGTACACAGTCAGTTCAGCCTATAAGTACCTAAACCAGGATGGAGGACAAGTCAATTTATGGCCTTGGAAACACATTTGGAGGGTTAAGATACCATATAAAGTGGCGTGTTTTTCTTGGTTATAATTAGAGAAGCTGTTTTAACACATGACAATTTGAGGAGAAGGGGAATACCAATTTGCTCGAGGTGCTACTTATGTGGTCAAGAGATAGAGACAATCAGCCATCTGTTTCTACATTGTAGAGTAACTAGTCAGTTGTGGGATTTATTCATCAACCTCAGGGGTATTAGGTGGTCAATGCCACGAAGAACATCTGAACTCTTGTCATGCTGGAATGTAGGGGGGAAGTGTACTACTTCAAACAAAGACAGATGGAAAATTGTCCCGGCAACTATTTGGTGGACAGTATGAAAAGAGAGGAATTCAAGATGCTTTGAGGATACAATTAGCTCTACTCAGAAAATTAAGATGAATTGTATTCTTCTTTTTTGTTTTTGGTGTAAAGCAGAGTACAGTAATGAATTTAGAGTCAATTTTACAAGTCCTAGACTCCTTGTAAGAAGTGCAAAGATTGTAATAATGAGCCTTGTAGGTTTTTGTAAACTTATCTTTTGGCTTCCAGCACAAGCTTTGTGCTGAAGATTGATTATTGATTATTATACTAATACATGTTACATTGTCAAAAAAAAATTGAAAAAGTGGAAAAGAACATTAGTTGATACATATCGGCAACAAATCTACTATAGAGCGTTACAGGCAAGTCGAATACAAAGACAAATCACAAGTTTGCCAACTAATCAAGTTAAAACATGAAATCATTCATGCGCACAATTTTTGGAGAAAGGATTTGTGACAAAAAGCAGGACAGTAACCGTGACCATCAGAAGAAACAATTAATGAACTCTGGGCAGATATAGAATTAGGTAAAGGATTTCAAGATTAAAATGTTACAGTTTATTACATTAACGAGACTCTGCAACGTTAGCCCAGACTTGCAAAAATGTTTTCAGTGTATTCTCTACCAGTAGAAGGCGTTTGATTTAGTGATAGAGAACTCGAGCTTTCAGAAAAGGGATGAGCGCTTGGTTACCTTCCAGAGTACGGCAGCCAAGACCCCAAATCGATTACCTCCTTCTTAGGAGGTGTGATAAAGGTCTGTACGCTGACTGTAAGGTTATCCCGAGTGAGAACCTCGCGACCCAACATAGGATTTTGGTGATGGACTTGGACATCGTGATGATGAGGAAAAAGAGGGTTGGGTGGGGTCGTTTGAAGATCAAGTGGTGAGTCTTGACTAAGGACAAGGCTCAGGAGTTGCAGGAGAAGATGCTGGCTGTAGGGGCTTGGAGGAGTAGTGGGGACATGAGTGGTATGTGGACGTGGACGGCTAACTGCATTAGGGAGGCTGCGAGAGAGGTGTTAGGGGTCTCGAAGGGTTACGCCGGCGGCCACAAAGGGGACTGGTGGTGGAATGAGGAGGTCCAAAGGAAAGTAGAAGCTAATAAAACGGCACATTTGAAGCTTGTAGATAGCACGAACGACGAGGAGAAGAGGACCAACAAAGAAGAATATAAGAAGGCAAAAAAGGAGGCGAAGCTAGCGGTCACAGAGGTTAAGACTGCGGCATTTGCTCATTTGTATGAAGAGCTGAGGGACAAAGGCACAGACAAAAAATGTTTCGGCTGGCCAAGGTGAGAGAAAGGAAGGCTCGTGATTTGGATCAAGTGAGGTGCATCAAAGACGAGGAAGGAAGAGTTTTAATGGAAGAGGCATAAATCAAGCGAAGGTGGCAGACTTCCATGAACTCTTGAATGAAGAGGGGGATAGGAACATTGTGTTGGGCGATTTGGAGCACTCCAAGAGTCATTGTGACTTTAGGTATTGTAGGCGCTTTAGTTTGGAGGAGGTCGTGGGGTTGTGCGTAAGATGAGCAAGGGCAGAACGACCGGGCCATATGAGATTCCGGTTGAATTCTGGAGGTATGCAGGTAGGGTTGTCTTGGAGTGGCTGACTAGGCTATTTAACGTTATTTTTAGGACAAAAAAGATGTCCGAAGAGTGGAGGTGGAGTATGATGATCCTGTTGTACAAGAACAAAGGTAATCCAAAATTGTAACAACTATAGTGGTATCAAGTTGCTCAACCATGCTATGAAAGTTTGGGAGAGGGTGGTGGAAGCGAGGGTTAGGAGGACTATGTCTATTTCCGAGAATCAGTTTGGCTTCATGCCAGGATGTTCGACTACAGAAGCCATCCATCTTGTTAGGAGGTTGGTGGAACAGTACAAGGATAGGAAAAAGGTATTTGCATATGGTGTTTATTGACCTAGAGAAAGCGTATGACAAGGTCCCTCAGGAGGTCGTTTGGAGATGCTTGGAGGCTAAAAGTGTTCTTGTAAAGTACGTTAGAGTGATTAAGGACATGTATATGGAGCTAAGACTCGGGTGAGGACAATGGGAGGAGCCTCGAAACATTTTTCGGTTGGGCTAGGGTTACATCAAGGATCTGCATTCTGCCCGTTCTTATTTGCCTTGGCGATGGATGCACTAACGCGTCATATTCAAAGGGAGGTGCCATGGTGTATATTATTCGCTGAGGATATAGTACTGATTGATGACACGTGAGGCGGTGTCAACGATAAGTTGGAGGTTTGGAGACAGACCTTAGAGTCTAAAGGTTTCGAGTTGAGCATGACGAAGACAGAATACTTAGAGTGCAAGTTCAGCAGCGTGACGAGGGGAGAGGAAATAGACGTGATGCTTGACTCGCAAGTCATCCCCAAGAGAGGTAGTTTCAAGTACAGTCAACCTCTTTATAACAGTCTCGTTTGTTCAGATATTTTTTGTATACACCTATAACAGCATTTGACGTTTAAATATTTTTTGGCCGTTACAGATAAAAAATTATCCAAATATCAATTATTATTATTTTCTAATATTACATATAAAAAATAAGAAAATTATTCAAATTTAAAATCTCAAAAGATATGCGTATTTCACTAGTTAAATATTGAAGAAGGCTAACATATTATTAATAAATTCATAACTAAATGATAAAGATTTAAACTCTAAGGCACACGTTTAAAGCTACTTAGAAAAATAAATTCTTTCAAGATTAATGGAAGAACTTTGTAATTGTGGCTTGTTTCGTAGATTTCATTCTCTTACTAACGATATAACGCTTGAATTGGCGAAGATTCGTGTCTAAATTTTCAGCAAAAAGGTATCCAATAGCTTTCACTTGAAGACAATCTAAGAGCTTAAAAGTCAAATCTTCGACGTAAATATTTTTTGGCATTTGTCCAATGGAAAAGATATCATGTGCAAATCTTCAAACCTTATGTCTTATGCAAAATAGAAACTTTGTGCAATGAAAAAGATTGTTTGCATATTTTTAGAATTATTATTAATAACCTTAAAGATTCGATATGGCTGTTATAGAAGGGTAGTTTTACAAAGAGCACTCTGCTATAAACATGGTTTTTGCTATAAAGGTAAAAACCTGTTATAGAGAGGTAAAATATAACTTAAAAAATTGATTCTGAGGAAAACTTGGCTTTTATAGTGAATGGTCATTATATAAGGATGTTGTCATAGAGAGGTTTGACTATATCTTGGGTCAATTATCCAAGGGAACGGTGAGATTGACAAGGATATCACACACCGTATAGGGGCGGGGTGGATGAAATGGAGGTTAGCATCTGACGTCCTGTGTGATGAGAATGTGCCACCAAAACTTAAAGGTCAGTTCTACAAGGCGGTGGTTAGACCGACTATGTTATGGGGTCTGACCAGTCAAAGAACTCCCATATCCAGAAGATGAACGTAGCTGAGATGAAGATGTTGTGATAGATGTACGGGCACACTAGGTTGGATAGGATTAGGAATGAGAAAATTTGGAAGAAGGTGGACGAGGCCCCAATAGAGGTTAGGATGCAAGAAGTGAGGCTTAGATGGTTCGGGCAAGTGAAAAGGAGAAGCTTAGATGCCCCAGTGAGGAGGTGTGAACGGTTGGCTCTGGCGGGTATGAGAAGAGGTAGAGGGCGGCCTAAGAAGTATTGGAAAGAGGTGATCAGGCAGGACATGGCGTGACTTCAGCTTACCGGAGACATGTCCCTTGATAGGAGGGTATGGAGGTCGAGGATTACGGTAGAAGGGTATTAGGACTTAATGTGTTTCTTTGGTCCATTCCAGGTTTATTAGAGTTAGTCTACTAGTACCTTGTCGTTGTTCTTAGAATGCTAGTATTAGAGTTGTCTTTGTACTATCTTCTGCTTCGGTTTTCTAGTACCTTCATTGTTACTACTTGTTGCTATTGTTATTGCTATTGCTTTCTTCTTTCTATTTTGTCTGGTTCATCCATTGTTGGTATCATTTTCCTGGCCTTGTTGATATTTGCTTGTTTCTATCCTTCCTCTCTAGCCGAGGGTCTTTCGAAAACAGCCTCTCTACCTTCCCAGGGTAGGGGTAAGGTCTGCGGACACATTACCCTCCCCAAGACCCCACTTGTGCGATCCCACTGGGTTTGTTGTTGTTTGTTGTTGTTATTGTTGTATTCTCTGACAGTAACATGAATGCAAGAATATGAGGAAGAACACAGTGGATCAATGGCCGGAAACTAAGGGTAAACACATAATCAAGGGCAGACAAAAGGCAACAGTAATGAAAGACACCATTGAATGGGAAGGCTAGGCAAGCATGATTAAGTAGCGGCAAAAATTTACATCACTCACCAACTATAATTTAAACCTGATGAAGGAACAAGTCAAAAGGCCTTGGGCATGGATTCCAGAACAGAGTAACAAGTCAAAAGGCCTTGGGCATTTAACAAATTCCACAAAACAAAAGAACGGAAAGAAAAGGAAACGACAAACAAAGAGAAAAACTAGAAGATAGAGAAAGTTCTAATTAGCTTACAGCTGCTTGGGATGCATAGGTACGATGATCCTCGTAAACCACTTTGACTGAAGGGATGTTGATTACCGGTAACTGAAGCTTTGGAACCTCATATGTTCTGCCTGTTTGCTTCAGAATATTACAAAATAAAAGAATAAACAAGGACAACTTAGCTTTCGGATCAAGAATGATAATGACTAAAAATTGGCAACACAACTAGATGAGAGGAAAAAACCAATCTCAACAAAACTAGATGAGAGAAAAAACAGAACATATGTTAAACTCAGTGCATGTTTCACACATTTGTCGACTAATCCATAAATAATTCAAATTAAACAGAAATGGCTGTTACAAACCAAGATTAACTGAAGTCAAAATCAAAATAGAGCTATGAATTTATATTAAGAGAACTATTCCACATGTCAAATTTTTTTCTCAGTGTACTTATCTAAATAATATGATCAGATTATTAAGATACATATCCCAACTGAGAAAGAAAAACTCAACATTGTGGATACTTATCTAGATAATTAAAAACATAAGTCAAGAAAATTGTCTCGGGCAATGCTGAAGCTAATAAATACTAGCACACCAAATTATCTTCGGCAATCTTTAGCAATTACCATTTTTTTAAAGCCAACAGTGGGCTAAATTAAACTGCTCAGTTTAAATCTAGAAGCATCACATCCTGCAATCAAAGAATTTTTTTTCCTCCCGGTTTGTGAATTACTATATAAAGTCACTAGCATCTAACTTCCATTGGTTGTTAAATATAAATTTCATCTGAATTCTGTTTCTAAGTCCTGATTGTTCAAAAGATTAGAGTCAGTACACGGCAATTTAATCTCCGCAAGGAAAGTAAGCAACCAGTACACCTGTAAATCCAGAACTCCATGACCTTTTAACTGGTGACCTAATGATTCTGTGATATATAACCAGTTTGACTGTATAGAATAATATTTATCAACAAATGCACTAACAACATTGTTTTGAAGTTGACAAACTTTCCAGGAACCAACCAGGTGGGGAGTTCATCGGTAAGACAGAGGCTGTAAGAAACAGGAGAATATCAGGACGCAAAACTAGTGCTTACCTGAATTATCTGAAAGAAATCCTTTAGGAATAACTCCTGTGTCGTCTTAGATTGATGACCACAAGCTAGAACCTCCAACATATTTTTAACAGCAACATCAAAGATCCCCAAGAAACCATACCACCTGAATAAAATGACCACCTTATTACATTGCCCCCTATTTCCCTAATGTTATTTAACTATCTTTAATGATTGTAACAAGTAACAGTGGAGGGAGGAGATCTTTTGCTAGATTAGTACAAGGATATGCCATAACCAAAGGCAATTAGAGAGTTAGAGGAAGAAGGACATCAACAAGTAGCCGTGGGGACAATGGTTTCAACTGCTTTTCTGAGCAGTTTATCTGTAGACAGGACTATTACAATCCAAGTACGATTTTGCAATAAATAAGGAGGTTGTTAATAACTTACTTCCCTATGTGGAAATGAACATGGTCTCTAATGTGCCTCCATGTAGTTCCTTCAAAAACAGAAAGGGCGCCTTTGTATGTTCGAATTGCATGTTTTATCTGATAATGGAGACAGAAGAACTAGTTATACTCTAGATCACAGCAACTTTTTGAAAATGGTAACAAGAAGATCACAGCATTTTAAGCAGCTATATGCATGATTGGGTGAGAACAATTACCTGATCACATTTTTTATACAGGTCCCCAGAAAGAACAAGATGAAACCCGTACTTGCGCAACATGGGGGGAGTGGAAAACAAGTAACAATAGGATGCTTGCTCGAGCATTACTGCTGAATGGAGGGGTTCCTAAAGAATAAACCTCTTCAGAACAGGAAATAAAGATTGTCATCCACCAAAATGTCAAAAATTGGGCATTACCTCACCAGAGATACGGAAGTATACACTGGCAGCCTCCTTATACTGATCTCTGCCCTTCAACATCTCTACCCACCATAGACCACAACGTGTAGCATTTCTCTGACCCGATGATCCGATTTTCTGCAAAGAAATTATGTGTCATCGATCTACCAAAACCATACAAAACCTTAGATCATATTATACCAATCATATAAGGCCAATAATAAGCCAAAAAGTACAAAAGAAGCAGCAACAATAATAGAAAAACACTTAATCCAAAATATCATTACCTAAATAAACTACAAAGAGTCCAATAAAACTTACTTTTGTCAGAAGTTGTTACGTCACTTAAAGAGCCTAACACGCAGACCTTATGAAAAATAGGTTTCTAAACAATTAGTGGCAGTGAATACTACCATCTTTTCCTTGATTTTCAAAAAATTACTTTTATACCCAGAAATATTAAAAATCGTTAAATACATTCTCTTCCTTTTTTCTTTTTTTCAGTGGTCGCTGGTGAAGAAACTAAAAAGACAACTGAAGTAAAAGTGACAGACCAGAGTATAGTTGATATAACTGACACAGAAGAGGGATGCGTACATACTAAATATGTGGCAAATGCATTCTCCATGCAATATTCACCATCCTTTCTCGACTGATCCAACATGAAGTAGGTCAGTCCCATCATTTCCTGCAATATGAAAAGAATGAGTAGAAAAACGTTAAGGGCAAGATGCATCAAGAAAAGCTTGTAATCACAAAATTCGATTTGATATCTGTTTTAGGCATTGTTATTGAAAGCCCTCGCATCATCCTTTAAAGTAATGCAAAGGGAGAGGTTACTGCTTCATGGGCGAAGCCAAGCGCTTTTAAAAAGTGTACGCTTAAAACAAGGACACCAAGGTGATCCTAACAAGAAGAGTTGATTCTTTGAATCTCAACTTTGAGGAATTGGATTAATATCAGCATTCTCGTAAAGTGGATGTTAAAATTATCTATTTTCTTTGCAATTTGATCATTATAATACTCTATCCGTACATTTTTGGTATTTTTAAAATTTTCTGTAATTTGTGCGCTTCGTTTCTTGCTTTTCGCTTCAAGCCCCATGGGCCTTGTTGCTTTTATTTGTGCTTCTTACCTCTAAAAACATGGTTGTAGGTGAGAACACAATGGAAAGGTTATAAAACCAAACAAAGAATTAAACAGAAATCTATCATGCATGTCCTTCCTATTATTCCAGTTGATTATAGATGTATGCATATCTGTATCTATATTACATTAAAAGTATGAATCCCTAAATTAAAAGAGTTAAATTACTTTAATGCCCTTCTTAAGTCTAAAACTACCCTACTTAAAAAAAGAAACTAACTCTTGGAAAAGGGAAAACAAAATAATGCATGCAGAAGAGTTGCCACTCTTTCAAAACCAACAGCAGCATTACTTAATTAGGCGACAAGCTTTGGCAATATCAATTTATTCACAAGGAAGACAAACATGGCTTCTTTCTTCTACACGCTTTTTTCGATCAATGCTTCATCGCTTTTCATCATTGTGCTTCCATAAAGAAATTTCATGTTGCCAATTCACTCAGTAAGCCAATCTCTTATCTTTGTACAGCTTCTATAAAATATATGTTAATCGAATTTCTGTACAGCTTCAATAAAATATTATTTTTATTCAACAACATTTCTTTATATGTCCGTCGTGGTAAAAAAAGGAAGCTATGGTTTCTTAAAGACAAAGCAGAAACTTTAAGACGTGAAACATTTGCCAGTCGACATTGCACATATTCACATTTAAAGTGTGTTTTTGAAGTATCTAAAATAAGGAAACAGTCAAGTTGAATATTTCATATATTAGAAGAACTATTGTCGTTCGAACAATACTTTTGTTGAATTGAGGTTTATGTTCAACACAATATTAACGACATATATACAACACATAATGGTAAAACAAAAAATGAACTTAAACAAGTGAAAAAGAAAAAACAAGTGAGAAGAAAAGGAGAGAGGACACTATGTTGAAGACAAGCATGACTCCAAAGAGGAAGGTAGTCTGGAAGTTCAAAATTTGGTCTTTCACATGAATTTTCCAGAGTCTAGCTCGAAGAACAGGGGGAAATCCGATGCAGCAGTTATCAATGAAGGTTAATATTATTTCACAGAATGTTAGGGGATTGAATCGTAGGGATTAAAGAAGAGTTGTTAAATTGCTAACTGAGAAGTGGAAGGCGGATATATGTATATTGTTTACAAGAATCCAAGCTGGAAGGGGATGTACAGGGATTTGTGAAACAACTATGGTCAAATAGATGGGTTAAATTTGGGTGTTTGGAGGCCAGTGGGAATAGGGGAGGAATTCTAGTGATGTGGGATAGTAGGGTATGGAGAGGGAAAAGTGATTAATGTAGGCTACACGATTACTTGCAAGTTTGATTCTGTGGTGCAAAAATTTTGATGGCATAAGACTGGGGTATATGGGTCTCATTGCAGAATCGAGAGAAGGAATGTTTGGTGGGAACTAGCTTGCATCCAGAGGAGCCTGTGAAGGTCCATGGGTTATTTGTGGGGACTTTAATGTAACAAGATTCATGGAGGAGAGGAGGGATTGTTATAGGGTAACAAGAGCTATGAGGGATTTCACTAAGTTCATTGAGGACTTAGAACTCTATGATCCCCCACTTCTAGGGGGAATCAAAACTTGGAGCAAGAGAGAAAATTCACGTACTTCCTCAAGGATTGACAAATTTTTGTTCTCTTTTGAGTGGGAAGATAAAAGTAGTTGAAATGAGGATGCTGAGATGGATGTGTGGGTACACCAGGAAAGACACGATTAGGAACGAAGTTATTAGGGACATGATGGGAGTAGCCCTTGCGGAGGACAAGCTGCGGGAATTGAGGCTGAGATGGTTCAAGCATGTGAAGAGACGAGACATAGCTACTCCGGTTAGAAGGTGTGAGAGGTTGACCATGGCGGGTCTGAGGAAGGGCAGGGGTAGGCCAAATAAGTACTGGGATGAACATGTCATTGTTTCAGCTCACCGAGAACATTACCCTCAATAGAAGGTGTAGAGGTCGAGAATTAGGGTTTCTCTCCTAGGCTTACCAGTAGTACTAATACAATTTTTGTATCTTTTTATTCCTGGTTCGTTATATTACATGTTGTGTCATTCGCTTCCGCTACCCTATTACCTTGTTGTTGCACTTATTTGTTGCTTTATTTTGACTGTTTCTACTTTCTTGAGCTGGAGGTCTACCAGAAACAGCCTCTCTATCTTCCTAAGGTAGGGCTAAGGTCTGCGTATACATTATCTTCCCCAAACCCCACTTGCGGTTGCACTGAGTTTGTTGTTGTTGCTGTTTTGAGCAGGATGACTGTTTCTAAAATATCAAGCAATCTGTTCTTCCTAAGGTTGCCTCTGATCATACTCCTTTATCTCTACAATGTGGTGACTGGGAAAGCAATAAGTCCTGTTTCAAGTTTGAAAATTGATGGTTAGGGACAGAGGGATTCAAAGACAAAATAGCAATTTGGTGGTCCTCCTTCAATATTCAGGGCAGACCCGACTTAACACTTGCAAGGAAACTCAGATTGCTTAAAGGCAAATTGAGAGAGTGGAACATAGCACAAGGGGGCAATCTGGAGGTTATGAAAAAAAATTGCTTGAACAAGATCCTGGAACTCGATTTAGCACAAGAAATCAGGGACCTTGACAAAGATGATTATTACAGAAGGCCGGTTTGCATATGGAACTGGAACAGATTGCTAAAAACGAGGAGTTATCTTGGAGGCAAAAATCTAGAGTTCAATAGTTAAAGCAGGGAGATAGAAATACCAAATTTCTTCAGAGTGTGGCTAATGCTAACAAGAGGTTCAATATTATTGATAAGCTAATTATTAACGAGACTTTAGTTGGTGATATGAATGTGATTAAGAGGGAGATTCTGGATTTCTACCAGCAGCCGTACACTGAGCCGGAAGGTTGGAGGCCTGATTTTGCATGCCAGGATTGCGCAAAAATTAATGAAGAAGAGGAATTATGGCTACAAAGAGAATTTGATGAAAATGAAATCTTAGAGGGTCTCAAGGCTTGCGCACCAGACAAAGCACAGATGGGTATACCATGGGTTTCTTCATTCATTGTTGGTATGTGGTAAAAACATATTTGGTTAAAACTTTTCAAAATTTTCATTCTCAAGAATATTTTGAAAAAAGTTTCAATGCTACTTATGTAGCATTAATCACTAAAAAAGTTGGAGCTGAGGAATTGATGGATTACAGATCTATAAGTCGTCATCTCAAAGGTACTGACAGAGAGACTGAAGATGGTGATTCACAAGCTGGTAGATTCTCAACAAATAGCGTTTATCAAAGGTATCAAAGGTAGACAGATTATGGATGCTGCTTTGATTGCTAATGAGTGTGTTGATTCGAGAATCAAAGGCAAGATTCCTGGGATTTTGTGTAAACTAGAGATTGAAAAGGCTTATGACCATATTAAATGGATCACAGTTAGGTTCTCTATTCTAGTAAATGGATCTCTAGAGGGATTTTTTCATCAGAAAGAGGATTAAGGCAAGGTGACCCTTTGTCACGTTTCCTATTCATCATTGCAATGGAAGGTCTGAACGGTTTGATCATGAAGGCTAACCAGGAGGGATCGTAAAAGGTTTTAAGGTTTTAAACAACGTTAGCAGCAATCTGGAAACCACTCATTTGTTATATGATGATGATTCTCTAATTTTTTGTGATGCTGATGAGGAACAAATCAGACTCTTGAGGATGATTCTATCCATCTTTGAAGCAATTTCAGGCTTGCATGTAAATTGGAGAAAGTCACAGATTTACTCGGTGAATGAAGTCCCCAACATTCAGAGACTTGCTGGAGTTTTAGGTTGTGAGGTGGGGGTGTTACCAACCGCTTACCTGGGTTTACCTTTAGGAGGAAAAAATAAATTTGGAGTGGAGTGCTGGAGAGGTGTGAAAAGAAGCTTTTGAAGTAGAAAAATAACAATCTATCATTAGGAGGAAGGGTCACCTTGGTGAATAATGTTTTAGATTCTCTTCCTACTTAGAAAAAAGACTTTATTTATAAAGTCCCCAATAATGACTTTATTTCCTTTGCCAGTGAATATAGAAAAAAGACTTGATAAATTGAGGAGAAAGTTTATTTGGCAGGAAATAAGGAGAAGAGGGGTTTTCATTTAGAGAACTGGAAGACCTTGACAAACAGCAAGAAGGATGGAGGATTGGGGATCAGAAATTTGATACATCACAACAAAGGTTTACTAATGAAATGGCTATGGAGATTTCTAGTGGAGGCAAAAGCTCTTTGGAGACAGGTAATTAAGGAGAAGTATGGGGCAGAGGGTCTCTGGTGTACAAGAAAAATTTCTACCAGTTATGGGGCAAGTGTTTGGAAATATATAAGATCTTTATGGCTAGCTTTGAAAAGCAATGTCAGCATAAAAGTTGGTAATGGTGTCAAGGCCTTTTTTTTTGGAATGATGACTGGATTGGAAATGGTCCTCTCAAAGACAGTTTTCTACATTAGTTCAACTTAGTGCAACAGCCCCAAGCACGGCAAAAATTTTACCTTCAGAAGACTTCTAAATGACTGGGAAGTTGCTAGAGTAATTGAACTTTTAAATCTTTTGGAAAGTTTCAAAGGCACTACAGAACAAGAGGACA